GTGCTGGAGTCCCTGGGATGCTGGCGGCACGGCTTCTCACTCTGTCCACGTGGACTCAAATGCTAATCTCCTCTGAAAATACCCTCAGATGCACCCAAAACAGTTTTTTACCAGGTTTTTAGATATTCTTTAATACAGTCGACACCTAAAATTAACCATCACAAGCCCACCCCTTGTCAACTTGGCACCTAGATGCATCTTCTAAAACCTATATTTAATTTGCAAAGAAGACAATAACATGGTAATAGTTTCACCTGACATGATGCAACTATTCTGCATACAACCAAAAACGCATTCATCCCTGATATGATTTGGATTCATGTCCATGCCCAAATCTCATGTCAATTTGGAGGAGGAGCTTAGTGGGAGGTGACTGGGTCGTGGGGTGGATTTCCTCCTTGCTATTCTCATGATAATGAGTGATTTCTCATGAGATCTAATAGTTTAAATGTGCATGACACTCCCCCCTTCTCTCTCTTTCCTGCCACTGTGTGAAGAAGGTCCTTGCTTCCCCTTCATCTTCCACCATGACTGTAAGTTTCCTGAAGCTTCCCAGTCGTGCTTCCTTTCCTGTTAAGCCTGCAGAACTGTTAGTCAATTACACCTCGTTTCTTCATAAGTTACCCAGTCTCAGGTAGTTTTTAAAAAGCAGTGTGGAAACAGATGAATACAATTCCTTCTTCAGAAAAAAAGTTAAAGTCTTTGGGTGATGTTCACTCTTCTCCTTATATCCCATGACTTAAATACTACGATACAAAATTAACAACACTTAAATACAATATAAGTTCAAAAAATCTTTCTACATGATAAAAGAATAAGAGAGGAATGAAAACAAAGACCTTTGCTTACTATAGGCCTCTATACACATGCACATATTGTTAACAAAATAGGGAGGAAATACTCCTAACAGTCTGTTTCTGTAACTGGTTACATGGGCACAGCTGGTATTGACAAACTGCCTTTTTCTGTTACCCATTCTGTATTCCCTTTGTCTTTAGCAAGCACCTCACAGGTCATGATTTTATGTGGTTTGCTGACCTAAGCTGATTTAAGACACTTCGTCTTGGAAATGGACCACTGTATACATAATTTCCTTCAGTCATCAATACAGTGGACCAGTGTGATACCTTATTGAAGGGAATGGTGATCCAGATCCCTGCAAACACGATTGTGGGAGAGTGAAGGTATCCTGCCAGCCTTGCCAGCTGAAGTCAGACTGCTGCAGGTGGGTCTTCCCAACAAGAATGGAGAAGAAGGCATTTGCTAGATGAGTGGCTGCATACCAGGTACCAGGTATGCGATGAAATCACAGCTGGTACAGCTGCTGCAATTGGAGTCACCACTTAGTTAAACTTACTACAATTCACTGTCATCTGTCATTCTCCCAGTTCCCTCTGTCTTCTGCACAGGCCAAATAGGAGAGTTCAGTGGGGTCTGGTGGGAATCACCACCTCTGCATCTTTCAGGTCTTTGATGGTGGCACGAATCTCTGCAGTCCCTCCAGGTCATGTTTTTCATTTACTATTTTCATTTACTATTTACTGTGGAGTGTGTCTACTCCAGTTATGCATCTCGAACTGGGGAAATGACCACTAGATGGGTTCAGGGACCCCCTGAGTCCACTGTTAATTGTGTCTGAACTGAAACACTATTGATCACCTGACCTCCATAAGCCCCACTCTAATTGGTGGGCCACAGTGACGTTTCAGGTCCCCTGGAATCAGTGTCAGTTCAGAGCCAGTGTCCAGTACTTCCCAAAATGTGTTTGTTTCCCTCTCCCCAGCACACAGTTACCACGGTAAAAGGCCATAGATCCCTTTGTGCAAAGACGGGAGAAAGATGAACCGTATGCGTTCTTGGTAGTCTACCAGAGTCCTTCCTGGAGGGAACCTACTCTCTCCTTCATCCGAGGCGTTCCGGGTCTATAAACTGGCTCAAGCCTGGGAATGGATTGAAGAGCCATTGACTCTCAGTTTTCATGATTTGAGTTGGACTTTTGTGCACTTAACCTGAAAGTTTTCTGCTTATACAGATCACGTTAGAATTTAGTAGGCTTCGTATCTATTTCACTTTGAGAAACACCACAATTAACTAGCCAGTGCCGTAGACCTACACGAGTCAGACCATTTTGATGGTCGCTTTGCCCTGTACCTTACGGTAACTACGTCCACCTTGCCTTTGACAGTTCAGTGTTGCCACTTGGGTCCTGCCATCCCAGGACCCAATTATTCCCATAGCATTTATGTTTCCTAGTTGAGTGACTGAGATTCCCATTGTAAAGTCCAGCCTACAGAGAAGAGCAATCACAGAGCTCTTCAGGGATGCTGGAGCTCCCCCTAAAAATCTGTTTCTCAAGGTTCTGGTGAAAGGCCTGTGTTCTGGACCTTCCCAGTGTGTGGGAGTTGGTTTTAAGTGACAAATCCACGGTAGCATTCCAACTCTCCTAAGCCTCTGGATCCCTTCCTTTAAAGTAAACCAAGGGAGATCAGGCATCTCCAACTCAGGAGGACCATCTTTTGACCCACATTCCAGCCAACCAATGCAAACAAACTCAGCACCTCCTGGAACTCCCTGAGCCACAGTATTAAATGGGGATCTCTGCTTAGTTGGTCCATATCAATAAATTCTGTCCACTCCCTTTACGTCTCTGTTAGCAACATCCTTAACATCCATTCCCACACGTTCCCTGGATTTCTGCTTGTATAAATCAGAAAACCAAAATAGTTCTTTTGGAATGTAGCCACCTCTTCATGGGACACAACGCATCCCTCACCTGTAGGGGCTGCTGGAACCTGAGTCTAGTTACAGGTCTAGAAGCAAAGAGGGTTGGTGGGGGTGGGTCCAGAGAGACTCAGTACTCTCTTGACTGGCAACTGACTCAGGGGAGGCTGAGTCCTCTCAGAGTTAATCCCCTCAGGCGGAGGTGAGATTTATTTTTGGAATAGGGAGGTCACTTCTGGCAAATAAGACTCGTCAGAATTTTGGAGCTCAATGTCCCTAGCCTCATCACAGCCTCCCCACGTTTCCCCATCTCAAATTTCTGCAAGGCCAAGACTCAGCTTTCACTGTAATCCAGTCAATTGAATGACAAGGGCTTGTGTTTGATTTTCCACAATTTCAGCCCTGTGGCTATGGGAGAGAAGATTCTGACCCAGGGCACATGTAGAAACTCAGGTCATTCATGTGAATAGCGGAGGTTGCCCCTTTCTTTCATTACTTGGTCCAGCTGCTCTAGGAGCAACCAACCAATGTTAGTATATGCTTTGGTTTTCCTCAAATGTTCAAACGTATCAGGTACAAGGTCTCTAAATTCCTTGCCTTTTATAAGTGGTGAATTAGGAGTATCGATGTCTTTATGTTGCATATTTACAAACAGTAAGCATGTGAGCTATCGGTGTTCTCTGTGCTATTAAAGGTAGAGTCTCCAGCATTGTTAGTTCTAAACAGGTTACGGAGCCAATTCCAGAAACCCCAAAACCAAAAATTAAAATTGTTTCCTCTAAAACCACTCCTGGTACCAAAATCTGCATTAGCCAGGGTTCTCCAGAGAGACAGAACTATTAGACTATGCAGAGCTAGCTAGACACATGAGAAGGGATTTATTTATGTGGGGTTGGCTCAATCCCTCTAATTAGGGTTGGCTGAGAAGTCCCACAACAGGCCATCTCCAAGCTGAAGACCCTGGCTCAGAGGCAGCATGGCTCAGTCTAGGTTTGAAGGCTGCAGAACCCATGAAGCTATTGGTGAAACTCTTAGTCCGTGGCCAAAGGCCTGAGAACCAGAGGGTGTGTTAGGGTCGGACACTGGTTAAGTCCTGGCGCCCAGAGGCTGATGAGCCTGGAGTTGTCCAGGGTCAGGACAGGCAAGGTGTATCCTAGTTCCAGCAGACAGATTGACATAGTCACCTTTCCTGTTTTTGTCATGTCTGGGTCCCCAGAAGATCGGATGTTGCCCACCCATAAATTTGGTGGAACCTTCTCCACCAAATTTGCCCAGGCTCAAATGCTAACTTCCTCTAGAAGGACACACCCCAAAATACTGCTACCAAGTTTTTAGGTATTCCTTAATCCAGTCAAGTTCACACCTCAAATTAACCATCACGATGTAGGTGCCTGACTAAACAAACTCTGGTACATCCGGACAATAAAAACATTATTTAGTGCTAAAAGGTAATGAACTATCAACTCATGAAAAGTCTGGGATGAAACTTAAATGCATATTATTAAGTGAAACCAATCTGAAAAAGCTACATATTATATGATTCCAACCACATGACATCCTAGAAAAGGCAAAACTATGGAGGCAGTAAAAGAATCAGTGGTTGCCAGGTTCACAGGAGGGAGAATGAATGGGCAGAACACAGAGGATGTTTAGGGCAGTAAAACTCTTCTGTATGACATGGCCGTGGTGGATACATGTCACATATTTGTGCAAATGCATAGAATGTACGACACCAAGAGTGAGCCCCAACACAGACTACGGACTCTGGGTGCTAATGACGTTAGGATATGGAGAGTGGGGATTCTGTGTGTGTGCAGGGTTAAGGGGCATATGGGAAATCTCGACTTTCCACTCAGTTTTGCTGTGATCTTAAAACTGACCTAAAGTAAAGTCTCTCTCAAACAAAAAAGAGGGGGTGATGGTGTGTCCGCATCCCCAAGCTCAGGCCTCTGCGCTGGTCTTCTGAGCCTTAGCTCACGCTTCCCCATCTGCTCTCCTGGGGTCAATGGAGTGGCCCAACACACATCTAAGCATCCATAGGGCCCAAAAGTTTCAGCAACTCTTCACCCCTCCCAGAAGAGAACCCAAACCCTTGGGCATGGCATGGGGCGTCCTTCATGGTGTGGCTCACACTTAGCTGATGGGCCTCTCCCATCTTACTCCCCATTCTGTCACATGAGAAGGAATTTACTGGGGGGTTGGCTCAGCCCTTCTAATTAGGGTTGGCTAAGAAGTCCCACACTCCCTGACCCACTCCCCTGTACTCCAGAGACTCTGACCTTTGCCCATCACACGGCAGGACAATGCCAGTTCAGCTTGCAGACTGAATTTTAAGTGCAGGATTTTTCTCGAGCTCATGTGTTCCAGTCCAGATCCCTTCCATAAAAGAACATGGCGGGTGATGCTCTGGCATGCTGTGGGTCCCTCGGGTGGTCATGGAGTGGTCCAGGGAAAGGAGGCCTCCAACATATGGCAGAATAGCCAGGCATAGAAAAAATATGTAAGAACATACCTTTTAAAGAGCATACCTCTTAAATGCTGTGAAAATTTGTCCAAAGGCAAGGTAGAATGTGAGGCATCAGAGGATGTAAGCATTCAGAGATAAATAAAATGTAAACCCACAGGACAAACCTGAATTCTTTAGAACGAGAGACAGACTTCTAACACACAGCACAGGGGAGAACGGGCCTCAGGGTATGGCAACACCTCAGCACTATTTCCTAAGAGTTGAAGGAGACAGTTCAGGGGAGGTTTTCCTAGGAGAGGAGCTTTTGAATGCAGGTGAGTCTGGCCCACTTTAAAAGCAGATAGCTTTGAGAACTTTTATTTATTTTGTTTTAAAATCTACACTTATTTAATTTTCCATATAACCTCTTTCCAACCACGAAGTAAATGTGATCACTGTAAAATGCTTGTTATAAAAACAATTGAACAAGCCACAACAGTATTTTTTTAAAGCAAAACTGAAGTGCTGTAACATTTTAGTAGCCGTATCTGACGTAAACCCTTCTCTGTGCATATGCAATTTTATACAAATCACACTATGCATGATATTTTGAAACATATAGCTTTTTTTTTTTTTTTTTTTTTTAGCAGATGGGGTCTCCTTCTGCTGTCTAAGCTGGAGTGTACTGGCACAATCATGGCTCACAGTAGCTTCAACCTCCTGAGCTCGAGGGATCCTCCTGCCCCAACCTCCCAAGTAGCTGGGACTACAGGCACAAGCCATCATGCCATCACGTCTGGCTTTATTTTTAGTAGGGCCAGGATCTCATGATGTTCTCCAGGTTGGTCTCAAACTCCTGGGCTCAAGTGATCCTTCCACCTCGGCCTCTCAAAGTGCTGGGATCACAGGCATGAGCCTCCATGCCCGTGACTGTTTCTTTTTCTCTTACTCCTCCCCTTTTCTGTCCCCACTTTCACTCTGTGCTTCTGTGCTATCTTTGTGACCTGCAGTGTGACTGTGCACACCCTGTACCCACAATTACAGACAAGCGAGCACGCATGGGTGCAATATGCAAGTGTGTCTCATTCTCTCTTACCAGCGCGTGGCAGGAATCCCTCCCCGCCAACCCTCAAGGCCTGATGAATACCTTCCAGGGGCTGCAGACTGCTCCCTAATGCAGATGCAGAATCAATCTCTTTTCAACCTTTCCCTGTTGACAGGCCTTGCCATTTCAAATGCAGTGTTTTATTTTTTTTGCCCTCATAAACATCCTTGTGCTTATATCCTTAATTATTGGCTCCAAAATGAAGGCAGAGAGTTCTTTTTCTTCCTAGGGCCTTAAACAGAATTGGCCACATAGCAGGTTATCGATGTGAGTGAAATGGTACATACACGGATAGCCACATGGTAGGTTATCGATGTCAGTGAAATGGTACATACACGGATAGCCACATAGTAGGTTATCGATGTCAGTGGAATGGTAAATACACGGATAGCCACATGGTAGGTTATTGATGTGAGTGAAATGGTATATACATGGATAGTCACATAGTAGGTTATCAATGTCAGTGAAATGGTACATACACGGATAGCCACATAGTAGGTTATCGATGTGAGTGAAATGGTACATACACGGATAGCCACATAGTAGGTTATCGATGTGAGTGAAATGGTAAATACACGGATAGCCACATGGTAGGTTATCGATGTGAGTGGAATGGTACATACACGGATAGCCACATAGTAGGTTATCGATGTCAGAGAAATGGTACATACACGGATAGCCACATAGTAGGTTATCGATGTCAGTGGAATGGTAAATACACGGATAGCCACATGGTAGGTTATCGATGTGAGTGGAATGGTACATACACGGATAGCCACATAGTAGGTTATCGATGTGAGTGGAATGGTACATACACGGATAGCCACATAGTAGGTTATCGATGTGAGTGAAATGGTACATACACGGATAGCCACATAGTAGGTTATCGATGTGAGTGAAATGGTACATACACCGATAGCCACATGGTAGGTTATCGATGTGAGTGAAATGGTACATACACGGATAGCCACATAGTAGGTTATCGATGTCAGTGAAATGGTATATACAAGAATAGCCACATAGTAGGTTATCGACGTGAGTGGAATGGTACATACACGAATAGCCACATAGGAGGTTATCGACGTGAGTGGAATGGTACATACACGAATAGCCACATAGTAGGTTATCGACGTGAGTGGAATGGTACATACACGGATAGCCACATAGTAGGTTATCGATGTCAGTGAAATGGTATATACAAGAATAGCCATTCATTCTCCCAGCATTTTGATGCATGTTTTCTCTTTGTACTTGGGCACTGCTGCAGAGTTTCAAATGAATTAAATAGATAATTTAATTTCTTATTTAAATTAAATAGAGACATATATTTATTTTGAATCATTAGAGGATTTCAGTGCATTTTATGCATTTATCCTTTAGTGGGAATACGGACTAATTGGAAGAAATGTAATTTCATTTATGCCACTGTATTTGTCACAGGGACAGTTTTCCCAATGGAGAGCACGATGTTTCCACATCTTTGGGAGAGAGGATCAAGAAAATGAAACTCGCGGTGGCTCAAGCCTGTAATCCCAGTACTTTGGCAGGCCGAGGCAGGTGGATCACGAGGTCAAGAGATCGAGACCATCCTGGTCAACATGGTAAAACCCCGTCTCTACTAAAAATACAAAAAATTAGCTGGGCATGGTGGCACATGCCTGTAATCCCAGCTACTCGGGAGGCTGAGGCAGGAGAATTGCCTGAACCCAGGAGGTGGAGGTTGCGGTGAGCCTAGATTGTGCCATTGCACTCCAGCCTGGGTAACAAGAGTGAAACTCTGTCTCAAAAAAAAAAAGAAAGAAAATGAAACTCTCTTTGAGGCAGGACAAGCAAAGTGTAGGAAATAAGGCTTTTTGTCGTGGGTTTGCTGAGAATGTGCAGAGTTTGTGGAAGCTTTCTAAACTGGACCTCTGACAATAGAAGCTGACCAAGAGCAGCTCGACAGTCTCATTTTGAAGGTCAGCTGGTGACCTCCCTGAGTTGCTTCTGTCTCAGAATTGTAAGGGAAAGCAAATATATTTCCGGAATTACAGTGAGCAAAGAGAAATCCCCCTTTCTCCTGTCAGCACGAAACTCTCTGCCCGATTCCCCCCTCACACACCTGCTGTTGAAGGAGCTCTGTCCCCTTCCTGACTCTGAAATGAATATTTCCAAGAGGAAGCCACACAGCCTGCACCCTTGCTGTCTTCAGCCAGAAGACAAGCTCTTGCATGCTTCTCTGGCAGGCACTTACTGACCCCACAGCACCTAACGTTCTCCAGCCACCTCCTCCGCTCTGCTGTGCTCCTCCTGCATCTCATCCTGGGCATCTTCACCTTTAGATGCTAGATGGAGCCACACACCAATGCCTCTCAGAGACCCACAGAGAGCTCTCTAGCGGATGGATACTCCACGAAGTTGTAGTAGGTCAAAGGCAGAACATATCGAAAACGTGATTTACAACCTTTTCTTCATGAGCTACAACACGTATGACCAGAAGAAAACTCCGTAATGCCAGTGACCCCACAGGGTTTAGCAATGGTGAAGGATAAAACAGAGAATGCATGTCTGTATCCGTTTACCTCGGAACAAGCAGAGGAAGAGAGAGGGGTGAGGAATCTTGAGAAGAAAAACATATCATTGAGAGAAAAACCAAATGACCTGATGGCCTGCCCCTTGGAGCCTTGAGAGAAAGAAAGCCCTGCTCAGTCCAAACATCTCACACTCAGAGGCCTCTCTGAATAACCCGGGGACGTATGACCTACTTCCCTGAGGACATGTTGTGACAGTGAGTCTTCGGATCACTGCCAAACTCCATTCCTGTGGAGGCAGGTGACACAGACTCCATACATTAGCTTCCTTTGAAGCGTAGCATTCATTGTTTATGACTTTTGTTTTGAGACAGGGCCCTCCTCAAAGGAGAGCCCAGAGCAGACAGCGAGACACAGGTGTCCACGGGCAATGAGCCCAAAGTCTGGCTGGCATGTTTACCTCAGGCTTCAGGTATGAGATCAGGCGCAGAGGCCATTTCACCTCTACCTGCCTGCCCTGGAAACTTCTCCACATTGAGCTGCCAGTTCCTCAAGTCACCCCCTCACCCCCATGTGTGCATGTTGCTACAGCAGCACAACTAAGCAGGGAATGATTTTTTTTTTTTTTTGAGATGGCATCTCCCTCTGTTGCCAAGGCTGGAGTGCAGTGGCACGATCTTGGCTCACTGCAACTTCCACCTCCTCAGGTTCAAGCCATTCTCCTGCCTCAGCCTCCCAAGTAACTGGGACTACAGGTATGTACCACCACACCCAGCTAATTTTTGTGTTTTTAGTAGAGACGGGGTTTCATCATGTTGGCCAGGCTGGTCTCGAACTCCTGACTTCTTGATCCGCCTACCTTGGCCTCCCAAAGTCCTGGGATTACAGGCCTGAGCCACTGCACCCAGCCGGAATGATCTAAAAGACTGTCTAATCCCAGCTCTATATTCACTCTTTAGTCCAATAACTTCGAAAACCAACTAGGTGCTGGGCACTGTACTAAGCTCTGGGGGTGCAGGGGAGGAGTGAGGAAGCTGGAGGGTCTTCCCCGAGGTCCACTGAAGCAGATGGGCTCACAGACAGATCCATACCACAAGATGCTGCTGGCCCATGACAGTCACAATGATCCATCCCTAGCCTCCTCTTCCTTTCTCCCATTACCTTGATAGAAGATGTCACCATCCCCCCAGCTGCCCAGCCCACTGGGGGTCATTCTAGATCCCTCCTGCTTTTTCCCCACACATCTAAAGAACAGTCACTGATTCCTGATCTTCAGGCTTTCTAAAAATGTGTGGAATCTGCCCACACTCTCCATCTCATTGCCACCCACCTAATTATATGCCACTAGCTTCTTTCATTGCAACAACTCCCTAGCTAGTCTCTTGCTTCCAGTCTTGTACCTACACCAACATGTTATCCACATGGAGCCAAAGAGATCTTTCAAATACACAGCTCCATTTGTCACTCTCCTGCTCAAACTCCTCAAATGACCTTCTACTATGTGCAAATTCCTTATAGGGCCTTCATGATCCCGTCTCTGCCTACTTTTATAATTTACTGACCTATCCACCCATCCGTCCATCCATCCGTCCATCCATCCGTCCATCCATCTGTCCATCTGTCCATCCATTCATCCATCCGTCCATTCGTCCGTCTGTCCGTCCATCCGTCCATCCATCCATCCGTCCATCCGTCCGTCCGTCCGTCCGTCCGTCCGCCCGTCCATCCACCCATCCATCCACCCGTCCATCCATCCATCCGTCCGTCCGTCCATCCTTCCATCCATCCATCCACATATCCATCTATCCATTGTCCATACATCCACCCACATACCCACCATTTAGCCATCCAATCAATACTTACCAAGTACCTCCCAGAGCTGTTCATCCATCCCTGACTGTCATACTGCATGTGACATGTGACACCACAGCTGTGGTCTTACTGTTAGAATTAAGAGTCCCACTTTATACCCCAGTTCTGGTCCCCGGATTCTCATAAGGCCCCCTGTGCAGTACCTTTTCATGGACTTCAGCTCTTCCAGCAGCAGGATCCTGATTTGCTGCCACTCTCCACCTTGGCCCAAAGTCCAGGCTTGGCCACTGGCTGACTCACATTTCTGACAGGAACAACTTCACATGCCCTTGGGTTCTGCTATGCCCGAATACCCCGCTTGTTGAGGCAGCGCCACTGCTTCTTATTAGACTTCCCAGCCCCAAGCCCATAGGAACTACTTCCTCCTCCTTCGACCCAGAGTCCACAGCCAGGTTAACCCACACACACCCACGCACCATGCCGAATACTGCCACCCCAGCAGTGAGCACGGTCACTCCAGTCTGCCTGTCCAGCTTGTGAGGAGCAGGCCTCCCTAACTCTGTTCTGAGACTAGCAAATGTGAGGCTGAGGAGGCCCGGAATTACGAGAGTTTGGAGAAGACCAACAAAATCCCCTTGGGAAGTGCTGACGAACTGACGAATAAAGTGGTTGAGTCTCTCCCATACCATCTGTCTGAACAAATAAAATCAGAGGCACCTCATCTGGCCTGGAAGCCTCCTGTGCAGGACTTCTGGGGCTTGGGGCATTGGTGGGTGGAGCCTCCCTGTGACCACCCCATTGTCTCACTGCGGTGGGACCTTCACCGACCTTCTTTCAACCTAGAGTCAGAGGCAGGCCAGGAGGTCCCAGAAGGCAGCCATCTCCCTCCTGCATGGGAGAAGATGATGGGAAGGTTCTTGAATCCACAGACAAAGAGCTGCAGGATGGAGCCCCAATGCCCGCCAGGCCGGTGGCAGAGACGCCCCTAGGAGAGGAGTAGCAATTTATGCCTCACCACAAGAATTACAGGAAGTGCGAGAGATTGGCAGCCAGGCAATCTCTCCTTATAAATAACTTTAAAAATCATCTTGAAATAGTCCAGATTTTTTAGAGATGAACAAATACCACTGTGACACTCAGAACAACACAAGTTGATGAAAGTTGCCATAGACACGAGCACCCGTTGCTCTAAACTACACATTTAGGCATGATTTCCTCAAATGACCTCTAGAGTTTAAAGAGTCTTACTGCTTTCATTACGACAGGATGTGTGGATGCCTGGCAGAGCCGGGAAGAGAAGAATAAAACAGGTGAAAAAATGCTGGTGTTTCCATTAGATCAGAGAGATAAGCCAGTCACGGGTTTCCTGGCCCACGTGCTGGAAATTGCTTCCGAGTCTCGATAATGCCATGGTTTGGTTTTGTTTGTTTTTTTTTTCCTTTTGAGACGGAGTTTTGCTCTGTCACCAGGCTGGAGTGCAGTGGCGTGATCTCGGCTCACTGCAATCTCTGCCTCCCGGTTCAAGTGATTCTCCTGCCTCAGCCTCCTGAGTAGTTGGGACTATAGGCATGCGCCACCACGCCCAGCTACTTTTCATACTTTTAGTAGAAACTGGGTTTCACCATGTTGGCTAGGATGGTCTCGATCTCTTGACCTCGTGATCCACCCTCCTTAACCTCCCAAAGTGCTGGGATTACAGGTGTGAGCCACCGTGCCCAGCCAATGCCATGGTTTTATGACTACAGATGCAGCCCTGAAATTCCTGCTCTTGTATGAATTTTTAAAAAAATTTTGGTAATGTACATGTAAAATAAAATTAGCCATTCCAAGCCTTTCTGAGTGTACAGTTCAGGGGCTTTAAGTGCATTCACAGTGCTGTGCAGCCACCACCACCACCCAGCCCCAGCACTTCTTCCTCTTCCCAAACTGTAACTGTGTCCCCTTAAACATAACCCTCCATCCCTCTCTCTCCAGTCCCTGACACCTGCCATTCAACTTTCTGTCTCTACAAATTTGACTGCTCTAGGGACCTCATGTGAATGGAATCATACACTTTGTCTGGTTGTGACTGGTTTATTTCACTCGGTGTATCTTCCAGATTCATCGCTGTTGCACCTTATGAGAGGAGCTCCATCCTGTTTCTGACGGAATAGCATCCCGTCACGTCATCCTGTTTCTGATGGAATAGCATCCCGTCACGTCATCCTGTTTCTGATGGAATAGCATCCCGTCACGTCATCCTGTTTCTGACGGAATAGCATCCCGTCACGTCATCCTGTTTCTGACGGAATAGCATCCCGTCACGTCATCCTGTTTCTGACGGAATAGCAACCCGTCACGTCATCCTGTTTCTGATGGAATAGCATCCCGTCACGTCATCCTGTTTCTGATGGAATAGCATCCCGTCACGTCATCCTGTTTCACAGCTCTCATTTCTCTCATTCTCATTTCTTCTGATATGGTGGTCTCCAGCTTCCTTCCATGGCAAGTGACAACTCGAAATGCTGTTGATTGGACTACAGGAGGCTTGACCTGCATTTCAGGGGAGGCTGACGTGTGTGTGTATGTGTGTGTGTGTGTGTGTGAGAGAGAGAGAGAGAGAGGAGAGAGAGAGAGAGAGAGAGAGAGAGAGAGAGAGAGAGAGAGAGAGAGAGAGAGAGAGAGATGCAGATAAACATCAATATTTTTCCTGTTTCCTTTGCCTTTTTCCTTACTGGTGACACGGTCTCGGCCACACTGCTGAGATCAAGGGTTGTCTGACTTCTCACTGGTGGCTCTGCACTGGCCCCGGCCCTCACCTGTCCCCTACACTGCAAATCAGAGTAAGGGCTTCAGGGCTTGTGGCCACAAACCAAGGAAGCTTGGATGTACAGATTGAGCCTTCAGGAGCATCGATGGGGGCATTAGTGAGATGCAGGGGCAAAAGTTGGATTGGAGGAAGAACAGGGCAATGGAGATCTAGCAATAAAGAAATAACCAAGAATGCATTGATCAAGGTGGAAAACTGGCTGTCCAGAAACCAAGTGCAGCCAGGAAATGGGTCCGATTTAGCTCACCTGGTGTAAGATTTGTTTACATTCATTGTTTATATTTTTAAAATGTAGCATTTCACATAAACAGCTACATGCTCAGCTTCTCTTGAAAAATCAGAAGATGCGCTCCTGGGAGCCCACAGTGGGCTGAGCCTGAGCAGGGCACCCCTGTGGCCGGAACAGGTGCTGCTCCCCTCAGCTCAGGCCCCTCTGGCTCCCTCCACTCTTGTGTGATGACACGTGCCTGACTTTTGCATTTGTGACACCTCCTGGGGCTACCGAGTCAGGCCCAGAACAGAATGGACCCTCAGGCGAGGTGTTGCTCCCACAATTGCTAAATGCCGGCTGTTCAGCAATGCCGGGATGGGGAAGGAGGAGGCATTGTTTAACAGAGGGGAAGGTTCATCTGAGGTTTTGATTCTAACATTTGGAGAAAAAGTCCTGCCAGCCCAGTGGCACTGACCTTGACCTCAGATGCCACATGGCCTCCACCTTGCACCAGGCAGGGAAGACCCACTCCACTGCTCTTTCCCATCCCAGGCAGCCCGCCCGTGGTTAGCACGTCGTTCTCCAGGACAGAGCACATCTGGGACAAGGCCCTGCTATGCCCGCGTGGTGCCTCCCGCCCTTCTTGCCGTTCTGCTCTGCATGGACTCTCCAGGGAGACCTTTCGTGTATTCATCCCTCAAGCACTTTCTGGGCACTCCCTGCCTGAGTGCACTGAGGGTGCAGATGAGAAGGTACAACCCTTGTGCGGGAAACTCACAGTCTCCTAGGGGACACAGACAAATGAACTGGGTCACAGCACCTTGGGATGAGTGTTAAGGCAGACAACAGGCAGCTAGGTGCAATGGTGTGAGCCTGTAATCCCTGCTACTCGGGAGCCTGAGGTGGGAGGATAGCTTGAGACTGTGAGTTCAAGGCTAGCTTGGGCAACAGAGCAAGACCCTTTCTCAAGAAAAGATGGACAATAGGCCTCGCCCTTTATTCTGTCTCCTGACGCTAAGACATCCATCTGGGATTCAGCTGTGTGTTCAGTGGGCACCAAGCCTGCCCAGCAGCGGAGGCTGCAGCAACACCTGCTGAAGGAAAGAATGAGTTGGTTGCAGAGGATGTGGGGACTCCGCCAGTGCAGGAGAGAAAAGAAGTCCCTGGGGGCTTCTCAGAGGAAGGCAGCTTGAATGACAGGTGCATGCAGGGGTGCAACCCAGGCTGCAGGAGAAACACAGTGCACAAGTGCAGACCATCAGGAGGGCTGTGAGCCTGGAGTGCCTCAGGGATGGTGGGACGTGGGCTGTCCTAGGTTGGCCGGGCTCTGGTAAGACCCTCGTTCACTGGGCTAGGCAGACTAGATTCTTGTATGAGGGAGACGAGGAGCTTCTTCCAGGGTGTTTATTCAAGGAAAAGGCAAAGTCAGAGAAGAGTTTTTAGACAGAGGTTCTGGGATGGGTGTATAAGATGGGCAAGAACCTTGGCTGAGTAATGCTGTCAGTCACCCCAGGCAGCTAATCTACTCTTGCCTCTTCCTGTCTCCTGCCCACATCTGCCTGCACCTGCCCACATCTGCCTCCACCTGCCCACATCTGCCTGCACCTGCCCACATCTGCCTGCACCTGCCCACATCTGCCACTTCTTGTCTATTTCTGCTTCCACCTGCCCACACCTGCCTCCTCCTCCTGTCTCCTCCTGCCTCTACCTGCCCACATCTGCCTGCCTGCCCGCACCTGCCTCCACCTGCCCACTTCTGCCCATATCTACCTCTACCTGCCCACACCTGCCTCCTCCTCCTCCTCCTCCTGTCTCCTTTTGCCACCTCCTGCCTCTATCTGCCTCCACCTGCCCATATCTGCCTCCACCTGCCCACACCTGCCTCCTCCTCCTGTCTCCTCCTGCCTCTACCTGCCCACATCTGCCTCCTCCTGCTTCTCCTTCCAGAGCCAATCTCTTTCCTCTGCTCATCTTGGCCCTGCCCTTGCTGGGCTCAGCTTGGGCTCACTTGCCCTAAAAGGCCTGCCTGCAGCCTTGGCTCACCCTGGTCATGTGGAGTAGGCCTCCTTGGGTTGCTCTCTAGGTTTCTGTGGATAGGAAATAGACTGGGGACATGTTTTGGTTTTTGTTTTTAATCTCCATGCATCCCCAGCACACTTGTACCCAACTGACCCTTCAAAGATTCGTGTCCAAATTGCTAATGACAGTGAAGCGTCCTGTGTTTGGGCCTCTGGCTTGTTTTCTGTTTGTTTGTTTTTTTCTGGAATAACTAGACTTAAAATGTGAGATCCCTGTTTGAAAAGTCACACACTGTATTCATCTTCCAAAGATGAAACCTAATATGCACCCGTATTTGCTACAGAAGAATGGGAAGTTTTAAAAGTAAAGCATAACCAAAAACTAGAGGATTCCAAGACAAATTCTTAAACTGCTGGACTGATTCCCTTTTATTAGTAAGAGGAAAAAGTTCTCAAGTCATGTTACTGAAAAAGCTATAACATGAACCACTAATGATTTCACTTGCTGAAACATCTGGAAAAGCATTTCACTGGCACGTTATGCTATTTAGATGTAATGAATGATGAGGACTAGTTCATATTCTTTGTTCAGAAAGGCATTCATAGAATTTTGTTCAAAGGGAGGGAAAATCTATCTGTGGCAGCCGGCTTTTGCACGCTGGGTTTCTTGAGCCCTTCAGCGAAGCTCTGGTAACACACATCCAGATTTACTCCAGTGCAGAGCACCCTGGGATTTCAGGTGCCAGACAGAATCAGAGAAGAGAGATCTGGGACCTGAGGATGGAGACACTGGCTCCTGGCAATCTCTGTTGTAAGAAAGGTGGCTGGCACGGCTGCTATTTTACCAATTCCAGGAAGTTACAATAGCATGGATACTAATTTATCAATTTACACCTCCCTATCTGTAGCAAAAAAAAAAAAAAAAAAAGTGTCAAGAAGCAAAATCCATGTGAATATGCCTTAAAGCCATACAAAAGTAGCATCAATTCTAAGGAAAACACAAACTTTTTTTAAAGTCCGTTTTTGTTTATTCTGTCTCCGGAATATTTCTGTTGCCCAAGCTAGCCTTGAACTCACAGGCTCAAATGATCCTCCCACCTCAGACTCCTAAGTAGCAGGAATGACAGGCTCACACCACTGCGCCCAGCTGCCTGCTGTCTGCCGTGACTCTCGGCCGAAGGTGCTGTGACCACCCCACCCTGTTAGCTCACTTGCCTGTGTCTCCTAGGCGACTATGACTTTTTTCTAATTGTTGACTCTCTCCCACAATTAGAGTCATGACTGATGAGTGAGAGCTCCCTGATTAGAAACAAAGAGTGTTTCAGTGACACAGCACACTCCCGCTAATGAAGGGGCTGCTGTGCTGGCGCCTTCACAACGATTATCTCATTCAGCGATCTTTTTGTATTTTTGTTAACTCCCTTCACAGGAAAGAAACTGGGTCCCCAACACACAAGCGACTTTCCACACAGTTGTGGCAGCACTTGGCAAGAGTCTAGGTCTCCTGTGACATTTAAGCCACATCACACCCAAATCAGCTGCCATTCTGAAATATGGGGGAATAAACATTTTCCTTCTTTCTTTTAAAAAAAAAATGAGCAAATGTTACCTGTTTGAACTATTCTTACACCTTTATGAATATATCCAAGTCACAGGCCACAGAGTTTACACACATACGTGTACACACACAAACACACATACACACACACTTTACAAGTAGCTTATTTTACTTTTATTTTTATTTATTTTATTTTTTTGAGACAGAGTCTTGCTCTGTCGCCCAAGCTTGAGGACAGTGGTGCGATCTCAGCTCATTGCAACCTCTGCCTCCTGGGTTCAAGTGATCCTCCCACCATAGCCTCCCAAGTAGCTGGAATTACAGGCATGCGCCATCACGCCTGTCTAATTTTTGTATTTTTAGCAGAGATGGGCTTTCCCCATGTTGGCCAGGCTTGTCCCAAACTCCCGACCTCACGCGATCTGCCTGTCTCCCAAAGTGCTGAGATTACAGGCGTGAGTCACCACGCCCAGCCACAAGTATCTTATTTTAAAAAGCATGAGCAAGAAAGTTCCCCCTTTTCCCTACCAAGAGGTTGATTCTACCTGGATCAGAAACAAGCCTGGGGCCTCTGTTTCTTCATGCGCAAAACACCAACCCTGGAGTGGGTAATCACTAGAACCTCCTTCCAGCTCAGAAAATTAAGGATTCTTATTATCAATTCCACTCATGGCTTAATTTGGGCAAGTGTGGAGTTGCAAATCACCAGATTTTCAACAATTCCAATATGCGTGGATGGTACAGAGTACTGGAGAGGAATTTTAATCAAGTGACTCATGAAGAGATGCCCTTTTTTTCTTCCTAGAGAGGAAGAGATGCAGATTTATGAAGAGGCATTATCGTGAGAATAAATACAAGTTAAGTCACATATTTAAAGCCTGATGCCATTAATAAAATGATGCAGCTAGGTCACTGGCATCGACACCTTCACTTGGCATTTATTTATTGTCCAGTCGTTTCAGGAGTGAAAAATCTCAGAGGTAGGTCTGCAGGGAACGGGATTGCCTATGGAGCGAGAAGGACTCAGACTGGGGGAGTCACAGAGTCTCACATCTCAACACCCGTATTGATTCCTTGACAGGCCAACTGCACTGCAGCAAGGGTCATTAATAACGTCCTTTAAAGAACAACAGCAACAAACAGCCACGTTTAAACTAAATTGGAATTAGAAATCCTCAGCTAATTGCCAACTAGACCATCCTCCAGGGGACGTCGGCACCAAATATTCAGTGAGTCAGGAAGGGAGGTTCTTGGGGGGGGGTCACAACATCCACAGCCTGGGTTGCAGCCTCTTCAATAGAGTTACTAACATTAGAATAATTCATGACACCTCTCAGCCCCACAGGGTCTCTGTAAAATGGAACAACACTTCCCTTATGAGATTACTGCAAGGGAGAAGCCAGGGGTGCTGGAAGGCTTCGTAGATTCTAGAGCTGGGAGAGCCCAGGACACCACCTTCTACCTCCATCTGAAGGTCCCTGTGGAGTGGGCTGTTGCTTCCAGACAGAAGTAGGTTGACGCCCTGGGAATTCTGTGTCAGAAAGAAAGGCAAGGGCCAGCAGTCCAGGCAAGCCCAGACACAGAAAATACACACTAATAATTAATACATAACAGCTAATAAACAACTCAAATTATGTCATTTCAAATTATGTTTTTATTGAAAAAACAGTCCCCAAATTCATACCCATTTACGAAACATGACATAAACTTTGCTGTGGGGTTGGCTCTCCCATGTCATGGTGAATGAGGTTTGTAGTTATGTGTAAGACAGAAAACAGCACTGTCGCCCTTTATAAGCTGACATCAATCCCTGGGATATCTTACAAATGGAGGGTGACTTCCAGATTTTAGCATGAAATGAAAGTTGAATCCCATTTGATGAGTGAAGGGTTAGGCCACAGCGTGGGGACGGCAGAGGGAGCTTCCCCATGCAGGATCCCAGAAGCTGCAAGCCTAGCTCAGAGGCAACTGGCACCTGCACATCAAGCAGAAGGCATCCGGGCTGGGAGCAGAAGGAAGAAGGCCTTGATGGCAGACCCAGAGAAATCTCTATTTGCTTCACAGTCAGAGGACAGAATCATGCAGTTCTGAGGCTTAGTCTAAATGTCTGACCCCTTTGCATCACCCCTTCCAGAAGTTTCTACCTTATAAAGGACTTGGGGTGGAGGGATCCCTGTGAATGTCTGGGCTTGTAGCAGCACTCAATATGCCTGGACACTGATGGGACACGGCAGCCCCCAAGGAAGGGTTGTTCAGGGACAGATGCCTCCAGCAAGACCCTGGGAGGGAACTGGAAGTGTCTCCAAGCCAGGGTGCTCTGCAGAACAGATCAGGGAAAGTGCCCTCGGGTGGAGACGGGGTCCTACCAGAAAGACGAAAGGCTCCCCGAGGGAAGAAAGGGGAGCAAAGGATGGAGCTGCAGGGCCCAGATCCGCTCGGGCTGGGAGGAGCTGAGTCACAAACAGCTCTCCACAGAGTGGCCAGCTGCATGGAGACACAGTGGACATCCATCACCAGGCTGGGGAAGGACAAGAGGGATCGGGTGCCCCTGGTAACGGGATTCAAGCCTGGGATGTGGGTTGGGCTGAAATGATCTCACATGCCCACCAGCGCTAGAGCCTGATATTCCCGGGGTTCATTTTCATCATAAAAGCTCTGCTTATGCCTGGCCCAGCTACATCCCGCAGTCAGAAAAGGCCACATTTGCACCACGGGAGCCAGGAGCCCCAGCAGCCTGGGCACTGGGAGGGGCAAGCGAGGAGGGGCCAAGGAAGGAATGGGGTGGAGCCTGGAGCCCGCACCCGACAGACTCAGAGGGGACTGCTGGGGGAGATGGCGCTGTCAGTCACGCGTCCTGGTGCCAGCCTCTCCATGGAAACGGGAGGAGAGAAGGGCAAACACAGATGGGAGCACCTGCTAAGAAAAGGGTTTGCAAATGCCACAGAGGTATGTAGAGGCAGGGACAAGGATGGGGGAGAGAGGGCCTGTGCTCATAGTGGGGGCCCCAAACATCTGCAGCCCCTCTCTTCACAGGCCTCGAAGAGGAGGCTCCCAGGGGACGCTGCCCCTAGAACTGGAGCCTTAAGGGGACCCACCTCCTGAGGCTGTCGCTCACAAATGACCACAGACCCATAGCTAGAAGGGTCATTCTTGCCTTCCAGCAAGTTCCCACACGCATATGCTGACCACCTCTCAGGTGTAGACAGTGCCCAGAGCCCCTGGGAAACAGAGAGGGAAGGATCGGCCCCTGCACCCCAGAGCTCCACAACCTCAGCAGAGTGGGCCAGTGGGGTGGGGACAAGCTTCTCCTCCTTCCCCGTGGAAAGAAGCATGGGGTTGAGGGCTGGGAGACCGGATTCTAACTTCCTATCCAGTGTCCATGTGTCCAGTGTCCACAAAGCCCCATCATTCCCCAAAGATGTGATGTATCCTTGGGGATGAGTGTGGCATTCTGGGAAACTCAAACCATCACCCAGCTTTCTATGAAGTACTTAGGTTTTCCAATCCAGAGAGGTAGCCCAACCCAGTTTGAGGAGAGCATCTTATTTACTGAAAAGCAGATCTCAAAGGCATGTCCCAAAGGCAGGGAGTCTGACTCTCTCTTTACAGCAAATAAATATTCTAATACATTAAGGACAAGAACATCACCTTAATACAACACAGTCCACATTCAGGCTGTCAGTGGTGAAGCAACGCAATGGACACCTGTGAGGTGCGAACTCTGCTGACATGTCTGGTGCTCTGCAGCCTCAGTGAACACCCCTACAGCGCAAAGAGAAAAGGGAAATCAAACTTCACTTTCTTTTTCCGAAGATTATGCTCTGGAAAACCTTTCATTTCAGAAACCCAGAAGCTTTCAAAACAACTATGGGAAAGATGAGTGAGTTACAATCATCAGAGTTGTGTGTGTGTGTGTGTGTGTGTGCGTGTTAACTAATAGGAAGTTGTTAGCAAGCATCTGTGCTTCATAGTTTACAAAGTATTTTCTTTTTTTTTTGAGACGGAGTTTCACTCTTGTTACCCAGACTGGAGTGCAATGGCGCATTCTCGGCTCACTGCAACCTCCGCCTCCTGGGTTCAGGCAATTCTCCTGCCTCAGCCTCCCAAGTAGCTGGGATTACAGGCATGTGCCACCATGCCCAGCTAATTTTTTTTGTATTTAGTAGAGACAGGGTTTCACCATGTTGGCCAGGACGGTCTCGATCTCTTGACCTCGTGATCCACCCGCCTCGGCCTCCCAAAGTGCTGGGATGACAGGCGTGAGCCACCGCGCCCAGCCTACAAAGTATCTTAGACATTACTTCATTAAATCTCAAATCAGGATTCTCATGGCCATTAGGGAAATTGAGGTTTAAGGAAACCACAGGACTTCCACACTGGCCCAGCCCGGAGGGGTACAGGCCTGGAAAGGGAAGATCGAATCCAGACCTTCTAACTCCAACCTCCAGGCTCTTCCCTTCTGCCATCTGGGATGGATTTGTCAATCCCAGCTAAGAGAGGTCTCCATGAACAAGGGAATGGAGGGAAGACTGATGTGTGTTCAGCATCGCTTTCTCTGTTAAATGCCAGGGAGCCTTAGATACATTCTTGATATTGTAATTAAACAGCTTTTTAATATTAATTTGTGATTATGTTTGCAAGGAAAGTCCCAGGAAACTTAAAATATGCTATACATCTGAGCACATTTTTATCACACATCAGAATTCTCACAGAGTTTAATTGGGCCCATGGTGTAAACACATCCTCATTTTCATCCAGAATGCGTGGCATGCTGTTATGTTTTCAGGAAAGAGAAAATTATCTTAATTTATGTAAAGAGTATTCCTAAAGATATGTATAATGCAGTCCGCGAGGATTAAACACCAAATGTGTAAATATCACAAAATTATCTCGGCACATATTGTCTCTGAAATGGAAACAACTTTCTTTGCTGCAAACAGTCACTCAGGAGAATCTTGAATTCTGTCACGTTTCTGTTTAGGTGAGTATGGAAGGGGTGGTAGGCAGAATCCAAAAATGCCCCCCAAGATAACCGTAATCCAGGCATGGTTGTGAAGGGACTCTGCAGATGGGATTACGCTTGCTAAATGGCTGACTGTAAAGCAGGGAGATAATCCTGGATCACCCTAGGTTATCACAAGAGCCCTTAAAGGCACAAGAGGAGCAGGAGAGCCAGAGAGATGAGGGAGAAGCGGGTCAGAGAGACTGGGAACACCCATCTGGCTTTGAAGATGGAGAAAGGAGCCACTCACTAAGGCATCGGGACAGCCTCTAGCTCTGAGGACGCCCTCAGCCCACAGCCTGACCTCAGTCAGGGGTGGCCGAGACCTCGGGGTGGTTGAGACCTCAGTCCTACAACCTCAAGGAATTGCATTCTGCCAACACCTGAATGAGTTTTCTCGCAAATTCGTCCTGAGCCTCTGGAAAGCGACATGACCCTGCAGTATGTCAACTTCATCCAGTGAGACAATGAGCAGAGAACCAGCTGGGCCAGGCCGTGCCCAGGCTTCTCTGACAGTGAACCACAAAGTGTGGGCTGCTTTGTCACCGTTGCATTAGGAATCTGAGCAGGGAGGGGTGCGTGGGGGGGCGGGTGGCAAGAGCACACATGGCTGCAAAGGGGCACATGGGCCATTCTCCACCCTCCTGTCTCTTCTCTGCAGGGAAAGCAGAGTAAAAAACTGCAGCTGCAATGACGGACCTGCGTGCCGTGCACAAAAGGCTGGAGAGAAACTTCAGGAAGCCCTTCTTCACCACTGTTCTCATCCTTCCACCTGTGGAATGGCTTTGCTTCCCCAGAAGAACCGGGAACAATCTTTTTTTAATATCTCCTATGGGCCAAAACATAAGCACTTAACACAAGTTTATGTATATTTGGCCACAATAGACCGCATATAAAATTTTGGACATCCATTTATCGATAAAGCTCATTCTAAAGCCATAACGTTGATAATGAACACATGGCAGAGTTCTTCAACATGGCATGTTAATTTTCGACATACACATTGCATGTAATTTTCTTTTTCAATTTTTTTTCTTTTTGACAGGAGGAGGACAATCATAAGTTGAATTCAAATAAAAATAACACAGAAACACTTTCTGTGCCTTATATTCCTTAATAGAAGAACTGCAAAATCAAATTAATGTATTCATCATAAATAAGCTTTATAGTTCCAAGAAATGTTAACCATTGAAGATGGTATTGAAATTTGACTCAAAGGAGGAGTTAGAACTGAGTCAAACTTAGCTGTCATTTAAAAGGGTCCACAGAAGCTTTTAAAAATTTATCCGAAAAAGATAAAAAAAAAACCCACTTTAGCTAGGAGATGAGTTCCTACTGGGAAGCTTTGATGAAAAAACAGAGATGAAGGCAGAAAAATATATCAAGCCCAGGGAGTTGTGCAGATACTGATAAACAATGATAAAACACACACTCAAACTTTTGATCTGCGTTAAGAAAATAACTCCTAACTCCTAAGGTGGAGTGGGGTCATTTTTCTAGAATATGTTAGTTCACATTTTCCCCACAACCTAGGATTCCTTCCATTTGGGTAAAGACCCAAAGAGGGTTGTAGAGTTTCAGAAATCAGAATAGAAGAAAAACCTTGCTGCTCATGGGAGGAGGCCTCGGGAATGACCACGCTTGAGGGTGACATTTGGAAATCCCTCTTTCTATACGAAAAACAAAAAGAAAGAATGATGGGTGGAGAATATTCAATCACAGGCCAGCTTCTGCCTTGAGGCAGTCTTTGAGCAAGGTAGACGTGTCATGAGAAAATGCAGAACTGTAAAGAACATTATAAGCCAGTGTGTCTTTCAGCGGGTTTTCACCTTTTCTGGAACATGAATTCTTTTGGCCATTTAGGGAAACACAGCATCAGAACGATGCTTTTAATTGCATACAACAAAATATAAGAATTAACAACCTAACTTTAAAAATAGGCAAAAGATCTGAACAGATACTATTGAAGGAGATAAACAACTGTAGGTGCAAGTAAGGGCCGGAAAAGATATTGGACACTGAGTCACCAGGGAAATGCAGATTAAAACTGCCACGAAATGCTACTGCTCACCTGGAAGGATGGCAAAAACTTACAGGGGAAAAATAACTGGCAATAGCAAATGTTGGCACAGACGCAGAGCAACTGCTGGTGGAAAAGCAAATGGTGAACCCAAGACAGAAAGTAAAACACGTAAACTTAACACACGTGACATGTGAGCCAGCAATCCCGTCCTGTCTACTTATCCATGTGAAACGAAAGCCTAGGTTTACTCAAAAACCTACAAGCGCATGTTACAGCCATTTTATTCATTAAGTGGCCCAAACGGGAGAGAACCCAAATGTCCCCAAGTGGGAAATGGATAAACAAACTGTGGTACATGCACACAACAGAATGCTGCTCAGCCATGAATCCACGTGCTAAGTGAAAGAAGCCTGGCTCAAAAGGCTATCGACTAAATAGTTCCGTATGTATCACATTACGGAGAAGGCAAGATTACAAGGATGGAGAACAGATCAGTGGATACCAGGGGTAGGGGTGGGGTGAGAGGGTCCGACATAAAGGTGCATGATGACAGACTTTTTGGGGGAGGTGAGTGATAAAACATGCATGTTTTGATAGTGTTACCGGTGACACAACTCTGCATTTGTCAAAACTCAGGGAGCTATACACCAAAATGAGTGACTTACTCCACACACGCAAATTAAAAAATAAATTCTAAAAACAGTGTTTTTGTTTTGGAGATGGAGTCTCCCTCTGTTGTCCAGGCTAGAGTGCAATGGCGTGATCTTGGCTCACTGCAACCTTTGCCTCACCTCCAAGGTTCAAATGATTTTCCTGCCTCAGCCTCCCAAGTAGTTGGGATTATAGGCACGTACCACCACATCTGTCTAATTTTGTATTTTCAGTAGAGATGGGGTTTTACCATGTTGGCCAGGCTGGTCTCTAACTCCTGACCTCAAGCAATCCACCTGCCTCAGCCTTCCAAAGTGCTAGAATTACAGGCATGGGCCACCATGCCAGGCCTAAAAACAAGGCCTAAAACATTGTTTTGAAGGCACGAAGGATATGTAGGATTACAAAAGAAGCCAATTATATGGACATAAAAGTGCAAATGTTTTCTCCATCTAAACTTGCAGACCCTCTGAACTCTATACACAAACCCTCAAGAGAACCCACCCATGGCAGCCTGCCAAGCCCGACAGGGAACTGGGGATCCATGTTCCAGGGAACCCTCTGGAAGCGTCACACTTCATTACATCAGAAATGTCAGGAGTTGGAGACCAGTCTGGCCAACATGGCAAAACCCCACCTCTACTAAAAAGATTTTCAGATCTTTGTGCCCCCTGTTCCTGGCTTGATAAACACCTGTATTTGTTAAATAAATGAAATGTTTATCTTTGCAGATCTCTTAAAAGTAAATTCATTTTACCTCCTTACCATGCAACTCACACTTCCAAGCAATGTACTCAAAATACTCTATTGTGTTAATACTAAGGATTTATATAATAATATAGATGTATTAAAAGATATATAAGTTGACTATTTACACAGCATACATCATGGAAGGCATTAATCTGAAAAATTACAGCTGACTGAACCTAATTACACAAGCCACCGTGAATGCAAAGTACCCCCTAATTTTATTTTACAGTGCATATTAAACTCCTTCTCCCCAAATACAATGGTTTAATGTTGTAGCTCGAAACATAGACCAGTCCAATGTTTAATTTTGCTTTTAAGATTAAGTAGCACATGTGTAGTTTTAAAATGCCTTGAAACAGCAAGCAGTGTCATTGGGCTTACAATTAATGAGGTCTTGACAACTGCAAACAAATTGAACACATGAAGCGACTAACAACCATCTCTGTGCTTGACAGACATGCCGCTCTCCATAGCACACAGCTAATTTTTGTTTTCCCGTGTGAAAGTCAGTTGACCGTGGCTTTCACCTCTGATATGTTGTCAGTGTTTTGTTCAGCTATGAAAATTGGGCTGAATGAAGATTGATATAAACACGAATGCTATGATGTTTTTCTAAATGACATCATCAAAGGGGCCTCATCTACCAAACTGCATTTTCCAAGATGTTATTTGGAAGGCAGATATAAATTTCCAAGTAAACGCCTCCAAGTTTGTACCCACAGTAAGATGTTTGCTGTTCACTCAGTCAGCGTCATAGATGGGTACAGGATTCCAGATAAGCCTGTGAGTCTAACCCAGCACAGCCAATCTGTCATCCCTCCAGGAAACATGGGGTCTAGGTGCATAGAGTCAAACCACTGAAGATACACAAAAGGGGAAATGAATCGGCATTGAGAATGTCCAGAAGAAGGAAGGATACATCCATTCAACCCATGGGCCCCTGTACATTTTAAAACAGTAAAAGAATTACATATCTGCATTAAGTTTCCTAGTATTTCCTTCCTGCTCAGGAATTCCAAGCTCTAAGGAAACAAACACAGGCCTGTTGACAGCAAACAAGATTTACTGAAAGAGGGAGCAGGAGAGCAAACAAGGGCACAGAGACGACCGGATAAACAAAACAGAAAACTCGTCGCAGGACGGTTCTGTGTCAAATTAAAGGCGTTTCAAAGTCTGTTTGGATGCTTCATGAGAGGCTGGCCAGATAAGTGTAAACAGCAAACACAGATGATGGGAGGTTTGTGAGTCGCCCAAATTACCCCTCTTCGGAATTTTGCTTTAACCATAAATCTGATGGTTACCACTAATGCGATGTGCAATCCTGAAGAAGAAAAGCAAATCAGGATGCTCATCTCCAGGAAATCAATATTCTCTCGAACAGTTTTTGAAGAGTGCATCAATTCTCTCAGCCAAAAAAGCTGTGAGGATTTCTGTGTTTTATACTTACATGCAATATGAAATATGGAAAAAGCTGTTTAAAATAAAGCCATCATGATTTCAACAATATGTGCAGTAATAATAAATAATTCATTAAAATGCACCAGGTAAATAGGTGTTAGTAGTCTCTCTTAAAAGTATAATCAAATCAAGAAAGTGATTCACTTTCACTGTTATAACAACCCACCCAAAATGTTACTTTCTGAGTTTTCTTCAGCTGTGTATTTTACTCAAAGACATGACAACCTCTGAAACACTGTCTACAATTGTGGAAGGTGGGACAAAGTAATTCCTACCTTCCCACTTCCCAGACGGCAGCTCCTCCAGAAGGCTCCTCTCCACCAGGAGGGGACTGTTCAGGTCTGCATGGACACCCTTGGCTGGGGAGACACAGCCAGGCTTGATGCCCGCTCTGCTACCCTGTGTTTACATGGTCCTGAACAACTTAGTTTCCATCTCTGAGTGTTGGTTTTGCCAACCATAAAATGGGGACACATCTTACATACATGAAAATTGAGAAAACTCAACCCGGCTAAGCGGATCCACCATTCCCTCCCGTGCCCTCTCATGGGAAGCATCTTGCCACATCGAGCAGGATTCTGGTGTTTAAAGGAATGTGCTTTTTAAGAACCCAATCCTGAAAATACAAGCCAGCACTTCATCTGGCATCAGCCAACGATGTCTGTGTGTTCCAATGCTGGAGGAAAAAGCAGCCGAGTTAGACCCGTCGAGACATACGCTACTGGCCTCCAACATGCTATCTCCCTAATGGTGCACAATAACCCAGCCCCCAGGTGTGGGCCATCCAGTGTACCTGCCTGCCACCATCACTCTTGGGTTAAGAGAGACACCTCTTTCCTTTGGTCTCTCTTAGCCCCTCTTTCTCCCCTCAGGTCTTTGATTATGACAGCAGCTTCCCTACTTGTTGCCTGTCTAGCTTCTCCCCTGCTAGACCTCTCCTCTCCTGTGGCAACCATGACTATTTCAGATGCACAGAGCCCGTCGCTAGACCTTGTGGAGTGTAGTCTAAACCCCTCAGGCGTGCTCCCCACGCACACCCCAGCCAGCCTCCCAGCCTCCTCTCCTGGTATGCTATTATCCAGGAAATGTGAAAGCAACTCTAGAAAACCGAGCAAAATACGTCCACTACGTATAGTCTGAACGTTCCTTACAGAAGAAAAACAGAAATGTTGGGGGTGAATGTTCCAAACGTGCCTTGCCGTGCAGATCAA